CACACACACACACACACACACACACACACACTTTATGCTAGCAGAGAATCCTTAAGTTATAGGGTCACATAACCGTTACAGCCAATGAAAAAGTACCGCACCATACCTAAGTACCGAAATAACTAAACAAAAATATTGTTGAAAGGTGGTATCTTTCAAATTCAAATATAATATTTGTCCATGCAAATACACTCACTGGCCACTTCGTAGGGTCCACCTTGCCAGTAACAGGTTGGACTGTCTTTTGGTTTAAGAACTACTTTGTGCCATAGATTCCACATTTGTTGCGAGCATCCATGATGCAAATCTTTCTTTTCATCCCATCCCAAAGTTGCTCTACTGGATTGAGATCTGGTACCATGCCATGTTCACAAAACCAGTTTGACACTAGAAAAAGTTGCATTTCCTGCGAAAATGCTGTGTGAATGCCTTGTAGTGGAATCTGCTGAAAAAAGCAGAAGTAAAACTATGTGCTGAAAGGAGGTGAATAAACTGAAAATTCTGCAGAAAGAAGCAGAAATTTGTACTGACAATAGGTGAAAAAGTTCAACTGTCTCATGAAAAGAAAAGTTGCCCTGAGCAGGGTTTGAACCCGGGCCTCCTGGCCTTAAGGCGGCTACTCATCTCACTGAACCAAACTGGCGTACAGGAAACCAAAAAGTGATTGAAAAACTGACAATTCTGCTGAAATGAGCAAAGGATGCTTTGTGCTGATAACAGGTGAAAAGGCTGAAAATTCTGCTGAAAATAGGTTAATCAGCAGAACTTCTGCATAAAACAGGTAAAAAAAAAAAGCAGAAGGTTGTACTGAATAGAGGTGAATCAGCAGAGTTTCTGCTGAAAACAGCTGGAAAAGCTGGGATTTGTGCTGAAAAGGGGTGAAAAAAATGAAAATTCTTCTGAAAAGGGATGAAGCTGAAATTTGTGTTGAAAAGGGTTTTAAAAAAAAAAAGTTTTGTTAACTGAAAAAAACGTTGCCATAAGCGGGATTTGAACCCTGCCCTCCCGGTCTGGGAACAGCTGCTCATCTCACTGAGCTAAAACACACCTCAGCCTGGCAAGCAAAAATAAGTGACCACATTGATAATGTGTTCCATTCATTTCAATGGGCAAAAATAATTGCATTAAAAATTTAATATCTCAAAAAGTATAGCGGTTATAAGCCGGCATGAGCAGAAGGAGCAGAATTGTTTAAAGTTTGAACGGCAAAAATCGGATAAAAACTGTGGGACTAGTTAAGGTGCAAAAAACGTACGGAAGCAACAACAATAAAGAAAGGATAAAGAATAAAGAGAAACAGGCATTCACACAATTATTTGAACTTTGTTGACATGGCACATTATGGTGCTGGGAGCAACCATCAGAAGATGTGGTCATAATGGGATGGACATTATCATCAGCAGTACTCAGTAAGGCTGTGGCATTTACACATGCTCAAAGTGTGATAATAAAATTCCCACACAATTACTGGCAACCCAGACTAATGATAGAAGGCAGGACAGATCCATGTTTTCATGTTGCATATAACAAATTCTGACCTTACCATCCATATGTCACAGCACCAAGAGCCATGCCCCGTTCCAAGTCATCTAAATCATCTTTCGTCCTCATTCTGGTACTGTGAACCTTAGATTATCTTAACAGTGTCTACATGCCTGAATACATGACGCTACTGCCATGTGACTCACTGATTAGATATTTGCTTTAAAGGGTAGATAAACAGGTGTACCTAATAATGTGGCATGGCATTCGATTGTACAGGTTACTTTATTAGTTTGAGAATTTGTTTGTTGTTTCCCTTTTGCTTGTGTGAGATTATTTGCAAGTAAGCTGATTCATAGACCGAAGGTCGTTCGCACCCAGCTGACTCAGTGACAGCTAATCTCTGATCTGTCTTGCTTGTGAACTGTTAACACATTGTTGTAAATGCTGCTCTGCTTTGCTCCCAGCATGCTATGTCTTCATACACAGCTGGGATGTCACGTAGCTGGTCCGTGGGGGTACCATTAGCATTGTCTTTATTTATTTATTTTTTTTACACTTCTTTTAGTAGTGTTTTGTATTCGTTGGAATTATTGAGTGATTAGGTCAAATTATTTCCCTGACATCAGCGAGAATAAATCTGATGGCAGGTGTTACTGCTTCTGTAGACAACCAAGCTTACAGCCTTTTTATTTGGCCCTGTTTTGCTGGCCTAAATGAAGAGGCCTCTTAGCAGATTGGAGGTGAGATGAGGTACTGATGTGCAGCTTGTTGTCCTGCCAACCGGTCAGTTTGCCAGTGTATTTAGCTGCTGCTGGCCTAGGCTGACCTGGCTGTATGAGGGCATGACTGCTGGCTGACTGCCCTCCTGACAGGGGTGGGGCTGACTTGGCGCTCAGCTCTGACCTTCATTCTGATTTATGAGTTCCTCTTCTCAGCCTGGTTCCCTCCCATCCTCCTGCTCTGTTGACCCATCCATGTGGTAGAGCAGAATTTGTCTCCAGATGTACATCTCTCTCCCAGAATCACAAGCAGGGCCTCCCTGTGTCAGCCGCCTACACCGCGGTGTATAAACAAACTAATGAAATGCAGCAGATACGTGAGTTCATCTTCTAGCTGGTGTAAAGATTTTGATGTTACTATGCACACTACAAAAAGAAAACTTAAGTTGAAGGTAAAAGGCACGATTTACTTGCAGAATGTTATTTTCTCAGAGAATATGAACTTTTGTGATTTTTTTTTTTTTTTCTTTTGATTGATAATCAAACAACCTGAATTACTTGGTCAGCTAGCTTGACAGTCTACTCCAGCAAACTGTAGAAATTAGGATTTATCTGTGTTTGGCCCTGTCTCCTCTGCTTATTCCATGAGCGATGAATCCCTGCCTCACACTGTAGATGTTTTCTTTTCTCCCATCTATCCATCACTTTCTCTTTCTTTGCATTTACCTCAGATATGTGAGCCTTTGTCAAATAGTAGTGATTTTGAACCAGAAACCCCCTTTTACAGTGGGGCAAAAAAGTATTTAGTCAGCCACCGATTGTGCAAGTTCCCCCACTTAAAATGATGACAGAGGTCAGTAATTTGCACCAGAGGTACACTTCAACTGTGAGAGACAGAATGTGAAAAAAAAATCCATGAATTCACATGGTAGGATTTGTAAAGAATTTATTTGTAAATTAGGGTGGAAAATAAGTATTTGGTCACCTCAAACAAGGAAAATCTCTGGCTCTCACAGACCTGTAACGTCTTCTGTACGAAGCTTTTCTGTCCCCCACTCGTTACCTGTATGAATGGCACCTGTTTGAACTCATCATCTGTATAAAAGACACCTGTCCACAGCCTCAAACAGTCAGACTCCAAACTCCGCCATGGCCAAGACCAAAGAGCTTTCGAAGGACACCAGGAAAAGTATTGTAGACCTGCACCAGACTGGGAAGAGTGAATCCACAATAGGCAAGCAGCTTGGTGTGAAAAAATCAACTGTGGGAGCAATCATCAGAAAATGGAAGACATACAAGACCACTGATAATCTCCCTCGATCTGGGGCTCCACGCAAGATCTCATCCCGTGGGGTCAAAATGATCATGAGAACGGTGAGCAAAGATCCCAGAACCACACGGGGGGACCTGGTGAATGACCTGCAGAGAGCTGGGACCAAAGTAACAAAGGTCACCATCAGTAACACACTACAACGGCAGGGAATCAAATCCCGCAGTGCCAGACGTGTTCTGCTGCTGAAGCCAGTGCATGTCCAGGCCCGTCTGAAGTTTGCCAGAGAGCACATGGATGATACAGCAGAGGATTGGGAGAATGTCATGTGGTCAGATGAAACCAAAGTAGAACTTTTTGGTATAAACTCAACTCGTCGTGTTTGGAGGAAGAAGAATACTGAGTTGCATCCCAAGAACACCATACCTACTGTGAAGCATGGGGGTGGAAACATCATGCTATGGGGCTGTTTTTCTGCCAAGGGGACAGGACGACTGATCCGTGTCAAGGACATAATGAATGGGGCCATGTATCGTGAGATTTTGAGCCAAAACCTCCTTCCATCAGTGAGAACTTTGAAGATGAAACGAGGCTGGGTCTTCCAACATGACAATGATCCAAAACACACCGCCCGGGCAACAAAGGAGTGGCTCCGTAAGAAGCATTTGAAAGTCCTGGAGTGGCCTAGCCAGTCTCCAGACCTCAACCCCATAGAAAATCTGTGGCGGGAGTTGAAAGTCCGTGTTGCTCGGCAACAGCCCCAAAACATCACTGCTCTCGAGAAGATCTGCATGGAGGAATGGGCCAAAATACCAGCTACTGTGTGTGCAAACCTGGTAAAGACCTATAGTAAACGTTTGACCTCTGTTATTGCCAACAAAGGTTATGTTACAAAGTATTGAGTTGTATTTTTGATATTGACCAAATACTTATTTTCCACCCTGATTTACAAATAAATTCTTTACAAATCCTACCATGTGGATTCATGGATTTTTTTTTTCACATTCTGTCTCTCACAGTTGAAGTGTACCTCTGGTGCAAATTACTGACCTCTGTCATCATTTTAGGTGGGGGAACTTGCACAATCGGTGGCTGACTAAATACTTTTTTGCCCCACTGTATGTTGCAACTCAAAAGAGGCACTCCATGACATGTTTTGTGTGTATTTTCACACCCTCTCAGCAGATAAGACTTATAATGTGCTCATGTTTGCATGGGAGGTCTCCCATCAACATCTATTTGAATCTGAAACCCTATCTCTGAATTAAATCTTTGGTGGTTTGATCTGTGGTTTGCAACATGCTGCTCTATTAAACGGAATGCACACACAGGCTTGCAGGTCTGGTCAGGCATCCGGTACAGGCCACACCCAGCAGCAGCCTAAGCCGGATGTCTGCATGCAAATTGACTTAGTGCCGTTTACTAGCATTATGAATCATGTTTTAATTTCTCTTAGGGTGGAGTATGTGGAAATGGATATATATGTCACCACTGCAGTCTGATTCACAGCATTTTATTTTTCACAGGGGTGAAGTGTATGGAAAAAGCTTGGTGAAGGAAGCTGCTGTGACTCACATCTGTTCATCTGTTGGTCCTAACCCTAAGCGATCTTGCTTCCTTCTTTTTCTTCATCACAATAAGAGGAGGCTTGGGCTCCCTCTAGGTGCAAAACTCACCATGTGCCAAAACTGGAGAGGATGTACCACTATCCTTTAAACAGCCAAATCTCTTTTAACCCTTAACCTCTAGTCTGGGGACCATCCTAATCCTCCACATTGCCCGCTGGCCAAAATGAGGAAGGTGGTGGCATGGACAGCAGAGGATGTTTCCCAGTGGTTGAGCAAAGCGGGAATGCCGGAGTACATAGATGCCCTCCAGCAGATGAATGGCCCTGCTTTACTCAGGCTCACAGAAGCAGATTTCCAAAAGCCTCCTCTCTCACTGGTGTCGTCTGATTGTGGGCAGCAGCTGTTGGAGCGACTGGAGACACTAAAGCTAGAGACACACATGGAGGCTCATAAAAACGGCCACGCAAATGGGCACGTTGGTGGAATATCCAACGGAAGTAGTAAGTCCCACAGAAATGGCACATTGAAGGAATTCCAGGACATGATTCAAATTCCTATCCCTACAATGGAGGCTACACCATTCCCTGCTGAGTGGGGGAAGACGGGCATAGCATTCCTCTATGCGGTGGTGTGCTTTGTCACCACCACTGTTGTCATCTCGGTTGTCCACGAGAGAGTCCCGACAAAGGAGCACACTCCACCACTGCCCGATAAGTTCTTCGACTGGTTTGATAGGATAGAGTGGGCTTTCTCCATCTGTGAGATAAACGGCATGCTCCTGGTGGCACTCTGGCTCATACAGTGGATACTTCTCAAGCACAGGTACAGTCACCGTCTCAGTTAGGTGTAAACTTTTAGCTTGTCAAAGCTAAAATTTCATTTAAATGGAAATATATTATTCTTTTATTTACTTTCTTTCTCTTCCCTCTTCTTTTTTTCTCCAGGTCAATAATAGGCAGAAGGTTCTTTTTCATTGTGGGCACACTCTACATGTACCGGTGTATTACAATGTACATCACTACTTTGCCTGTTCCTGGGATGCACTTTAAATGTGCTCCAAAGGTATGAGCATGAATAGTTTGTTTCTTAACTGATTTTGGAACAAATGTTGTCTCCACTGATTGTATTTGTCCATCTATTTTTGCCATGGGAGAGTCAAGTAGTTGCTCAACTTTCTTTGGGTTCCTATTTTGCAAATGCTAGGAAAGCATTTTCATATCTCCTTATTGGAAGCCTTTGTATCAAGAATGAGAAACAAAAAGCCCAAGGGCCAGAATTGGCTGACTGGTCGAAAAAACAATGTCAGGTAATAAATTTGTAGTTAAAGTTCTTTGACACAGCCAAAAAAGGGGACTTTCACTTACCTGTACCACTTGTATGGAAGCCTGTTTCCGCCACTAAAAAAAACAAACAAACAAACAAATATCCATAACACGAAATTTCGACTTATTTACTCGAAATTTCAAGTTACCTTTCTCAAAATTTCGAGTTAATCTACGTGAATGAGGTCACTTTCTTGTTACCTGGAAGCATATGGCGCAGAGTAACACGCACTCAAAACCGGATTGCAAACATTTGGCGCTTTCACGAGTACGTTTGCTGATAGTAACGCCATGTGATTCAGCTAATAACACAAGGATTTCATCATTTTTGAAGCCACGCTGAAATTACTCAGCAATCTGTGCATTCATGACTGGATGTAATACCAGTAGCTTAGCTGTAGCATTTGTACCTGAAGGCTTCAGCTTCCGGGTAACAAGGAAATGACGTCATTCACGTAGATTACTGATTGGCAGTGCTTACTCGAAATTTCGAGTTACTTTTCTCAAAATGTCAAGTAAATAAGTTGAAATTTCGAGTTAATAAGTCAAAATTTCGAGAAAATAACTCGAAATTTTGAGTTATGGATCTTTTTTTTTCTTTTTTTTTTCTTAGTGGTGGAAACGGGCTTCCATTGAGATCAAAGTTGGCTGGATTGGGCCCAAGAGTTTGACATCCCTAAATCAAGGCTTTCTGTGGGGATAATATCTTCTTTTACCTAGCTTAAAATATTATTTTAGGATCATGCTACTAAAGTTTAGGTCATGTAGCCTACCCTGCTCATGTTGACATGTTTGGGGGAAATGTAAGATTGATGGCAGATAAGCCACACAGCCTTTCTGCCCCGATAGTGTCGTACACCGTTGCTTTTTGCTGTTATGTAAAAATACCACACCACTTCCTCCGGTGGTGCAGCAAAGCCTGAGGAAGTTGGTCTTCAAATAACAAAGATGTGTTTGTTATTTGACTCTGTATGTTAAAAGAAAATATAAAATCCACATAATATTATGGATATTAACAGATACTACAGCATTACAGTTCTTTTTTTTCATGGTTCAAACATCTCAAAGGGATTCATCATGTATTGTTACTTTAAACTTTGCTACTTAAACTATAGTCATGTGAGAAAACCTTTCACAGAATTCCTGTGGAGAACGTAAGCAACCTTGCAGGTTCACTAGCTTGCAGAACCACTTTTAGCAGTAATGACTTGTTTTGTATTCGACTTTATCGGTCTCTCATATCAATGTAATACTAATAATAATGGATTGCATTTATATAACGCTTTTCGAGACCCTCAAATCGCTTTACAATTCCACTATTTATTCACTCTCACATTCACACACTGGTGGAGGCAAGCTACAGTTGTAGCCACAGCTGCCCTGGGGCAGACTGACAGAAGCGAGGCTGCCATATCGAGCCATCGGCCCCTCTGGCCCAACACCAGTAGGCAGTAGGTGAAGTGTCTTGCCCAAGGACACAACGACCGACCGACAATGTGGGAATATATTGTGTCACTCGTCTTTACAGCATTGCTTTTACTGGAGTTTGTGGACATAAGTTTATGCACAGCTGTTTTAATGGCTGGCCACAGCATTTCTATTAGGTTGATGTCTAGACTTTAGATCCTGCAATGACCCAGTTAGATTCTTTTCCCTTTCAGCCTCTCTGTTATAGATTTGCTGCTGTGCCCATTGGGTTCATTGTCTTGACCTAATTTAGGTCAAACTGTCAGACAGATGTCTTCACACCTGACATTAGAGCACTTAAACGTAGGCTACGTCCACACTAATGCGTTTTTGTTTGAAAACGCATCGTTTTCTCTCCGTTTTGGCCTCCCGTCCACACTGAGACGGCGTTTTCCTCAAGGAAAAACACAGCGTTTTGAAAACGCTCTTGAAAACGCATACATTTCAAAACAGAGCTGTCCCGTCACAGAGTGGACACTGGAAAACGCAGACTTTCTAAAACGATGACACATTTTAGCCATGTGATACAGTCATGTGACCAATTAAACAAAGATAGCAGAGGGCATTATACAGCAGTTGTTTTGATTGCTCTCAATTTTGACAGCCCTAAAAAAGATTAATATCAGTTTGTACATGCTCCAGATAGCTTTTCTTCAAATTCTTTAATTCTCACTTGCTTTTGCGCATGCGCAGGACTGGAACGTAAGCGTTTTGGCCCGTTTCAATGTGGACGCTCAACTCTGTGAAAACGAGCGTTTTCAGACCTATCCGGGCTAGTGTGGACGTAGCCAGAGTCAGCTCAATGATTGCAAGGTGTGCAGGTCCTGTTGCTGCAAAATGAGTCTAAATCAAGGCCCCTACACTACTTTGCTTGACACTTGGTGTAAGGTGTTGGTCTTGACATGCTGTGTTTGGTTTTTACCAAACATCTCCACTGCGGTCTTATTTCTCAAGTCCTGTGGTTTGTTCAGATGCATCATTTTAGAGACGAGAGGCTTTCTTCTAAAAATCAAAAAAAAAAAAAAAAACACACCTGAATGCGCCAGACCAGCAAACTGCATAAATCTCTGCTTTTATAGGAATTGTCAGTTGCTGATGATTTATTAATCAGATGTATTTGATTAGCAGAACCTGGCTGCTACTACCCTTCTTAATTCCTGTGGAAGCAGTAAGGCTGTACTTACAGTTTCACGGGACTGCATAGGTTCCTGTGAAAACTCCTTTTTCCACACTGTATATTTTGCTTCCAATATAGTCGTTTTTATGAGCGTATGGTTGCAGAAGCTTTCACTTGTAACCAGGTATTTTGCAATTGTCGTATCTTCAGTATGGTTTACCTATATCTAAATAATATAATTGTCATAAAATAATGGAATTTGGGAATTCAAAGGAAAGCTAAAAAGCAACGACAAACTTTTACATTTTTGCTTTTTATAAGTTATGTGCACACACTTGCCGATGGCGTCTTACTTTAGAGGTGAATTAATGAACAACTGTGTTTCTTTCAGCTGCTTGGGAACTGGGAGGCACAGATGAGGAGAGTAATGAAAATGATTGCCGGTGGGGGACTATCCATCACAGGTGCTCACACTATGTGTGGAGATTACCTGTATAGTGGCCACACTGTCATGCTGACACTAACGTACCTCTTCATCAAAGAGTGTAAGTTTAACTTTGTCTATGTTGCAGTTTAATTAAGAATATATTGTAATATTTTACTTCTAGGATCAGTTCCCTTTCTCAAAGTCAAGCTTTCTGTTTAAATCTGATGATTTTGACAGTCCCATAAACCATTTAAAAATGTGTGGGGTCCCATCCCCCCCATTAAGATGGACTTAGATTATATATCTTCGATTTACCAACTGGCCTTTCGGTTTTAGTGCCTTTGGCATCACATTGATATTTCACACTCGAGTAGATACTGTGACACAACAGCACAAGCAAATGTGAACCCTGTGTAAAAGTGAAGAGGAAGTGTTTCCGTCTCGACATTTTTTTTTTTCTTGTCATCTTAGTGTCAGTTTGTTTATTTGTTGTTTGGTTACATAACAACAGTTTCTGTTGCTCAGCAGGCGTTAACCATTATCTAACCACCCCCCACCCCCATTCCCCCCACCCCCACCAACCTTGTTTACTGCTAACCCAGAATGCGGATGAAATGCTGTAGCTTTTTTAACTGCTTTATCATATTGTGGCAATGTTTTTGATTAAATCCTGGTTTTTATTCGCCTGTGATACATGGCACTGCAGTGCTGGTTGATACAGTGGTGACATCTAGTGGTGAAAAGAAGAAAAGCTTTAAGTAGTGCTGTAGGGTCACACTGACACATCAGTACCAGCTGATACAGGAGTTGGAATTCATAGGAGGAGAAAACAATTTTTTGGTATATGGTTTGTTCTTTCTGGTGTTTTGAACTTATTTTTCCCCCTCTCTTTTTGGTAGATTCTCCAAAGCGATTCTGGTGGTATCACTGGCTTTGCTGGACTCTGAGTGCAGTGGGAATAGTCTGCATCCTTCTTGCCCATGACCACTACACTGTGGATGTGGTTGTGGCCTACTTTATCACTACACGTCTCTTCTGGTGGTACCATACTATGGCGAACCAACAGGTGATTGTACCATTTATGTTTGTCTGCTAGATTTATATTTTTTAATTTTTTGGACAAAGATAATGTCATCAAAGTAAAGATGCCTAATCTTGCTATAAAACACAAAATTAGCAAAATCCTCTTTTGCAATAAAGAGTTGAGCAATGAAACATACCAAAGGTCCCTCTAGGTTCCTATCTATATCATATATTATAATGTCGTCATGTTGCCTAGCAACCACATACCAGTGGGCTAAAATCATGTGTAGCATAGACATGTACTAGAATTCAAATGTGCTGTTTTGGAGTGAATAAAGCTGAATAGAGCCTGTGCTTTAGTACGTAAGTTGTATAGTGTATGTGAGTTATAGGTACCATTACAAGGTCTTAACCTGCCACAATAGGAATTGTGGCTCAGTTGTGATCTCTCCTTTTTGTTGTTGTTGTTGTTGTGTTTCAGTCGCTGAAAGAGACATCACAGAGTAACCCATTCTCACGGGTGTGGTGGTATAGACTGTTCCAGTACTTTGAAGAGAACGTGAACGGCCCGGTCCCCCGGAACTACCAGCTGCCATTGTCGTGGCGAGCGTTGCACTGGAACCACAGCGTGAAGTACAGCAGACTGGACATCCAGTGACCCCTATCATGTTAAAGCAGGCGAGGACTGTGACTTCCATAAGTGCTGTTTTTAACCAAGGAAGATGGCACTGTCCAATGTAGCGCTGTCCTTTCACCTCTAGTAACACCCTTGTCCACATGGGTAGCACTGTGACCCACTTAGTATTTTCTTTTTCCTCTCTTCGTTCTTTTCTGACAGTGTTTGTCGACACAGAGCACTAATTTATTTGTTTTTGTTTCCATTTCAAAGGTAACATACATTTCTGCTTTTATAGTACATCTATAAAGCATTTAAACACTTTTTTTAAAAACTCAACTTGTTTGTCAAAACGACACACACAAGTTTTCTTTCCCTATCAGCACAAAAGAATAGTCGATGTTGTCATATTCTCAAATTTTTAGTGCAAATGGGTCAATCAGAGGTTTATGTAAGAACCAAAATGCCATAAGTATTTTTTCCCTTTTTTTTTTTAATAGCAGCTTAATTTTTGTAAACTATCCTTGCTGAAACGAGTCAAAGGTGCAAAAATAATTTTTCTAAACATTTCAGACTTTATTTTTCAAAAACAAATGATGTCCAGAGAAGATTTTTAGATTTTTATCTTTTTCAAGATGGATAACTGAGAGCATAAGAATCCAGTGTGGTATAATATGTTTCCAGTGCCTTCTTTTGCTTGATTGTAAGTACTATATGTAATGTGTCTGTCTGCAGCGGTACCTTCCTCGTACCGTGGCGTGGTCACAGTCTCGTTCCCATGAATGTATAAAACAACTACGCCAGCCTTGCCAGAAGATTGGTCTTCCCAAAATTAAGTGCAGAGACAGGACGTATCCAGTTTGGTTGTCAGTGCTCTTTGATGTCAGTTTGTGCTTAGCTGGTTAACTCTGTTCTACCAGAAACAATGACTGTTAATTGTATTTTGTTCATGTCTAAAGCGTTTCCTTTTCACCATGGTTTAACCGCCACCGGCTATGTTCAAAGCCCAACCACTGATGCTCAGTTGCATGCTACACCACATCTGCTAGTTTTACTTTGCAACAGTATCTGGAAAAATCACTCCCTAATTGGAGGTTGCATATGAAATGTCTCTGAGGTGCTGAGTTGAGTTATTCTGGGTCTGGACACGTCTTGTGCATCAATGCAGAATCTCTTCCTCAGGAGATAATGAGCCCCTCTCTTGTTCCCCACACGGAGGTCTTTGTTTGAAATCAGAATTAACCTCATTAGAGTATTGTCGCGTAACCTTTTTGGTGATGAAAGGTAGAGGGAAATGTTCAGCGTGACACTTGTGTCGAGCTGAGGAAATGTCAACAAAAAAGAAACTTGAATCAAAGTTTCTGACCATGTTTGGAATGAATTTACCGACTTCGTACATGTGCTAAATCAGGCTGCTATCCAACAGTTTGAGAAGAGTAAGTGCAACACCCAAACAATCCTCTTTCTCGAAGTCACAAACAATGAGACTTGTTTGTGGTTTGTGAGGAACAAACTGAACCATGATGCACAGAGCTGGTGACATTTTTGGCCATAAGCGTGCAAGAATTAACTTCCATGAATGTGAAAATGCGTCCTTATTGATCGAAATAATTAGATTTTTGTTTTGTTTTTTGTTGGGTTTTTTTTTTTTTTTGTAACTGTGACTGAATTGTAGAGTATTACACAAAAGTTCATATATAGGGAATCATTAATCTTGCTACATGAATCTGTAACTTCAAATTAAGCTCAGTAGCGCTGCACTAATTTAGTTGCAATATCGGACAAGCCCAAATAAAGCGTGCAACTGGTGTGATTATATTCTTTAAACTTTCAAATGAAGGCAGTAAGAACATACCATTATTTTCAAATCGATCTCATGAGCCTAGTAGCGTTTAATCCCAATAAGAGAGTCTTGATGTTTGAGACAGATTACAGCACTAGCTTCACCTCCTTCTCGTAGCATTGTCCAATCATTTCACTTTTATAAAGAATCATCAGCTCAGTTTCAAAGAGCACAGCAGCTCCCTTGCATACAGCCATATTCTTGATTTTGGCTTATGCTTGGTCAAGACACAGTTCTCTTTGAGGGCTTGGATAAGAATAAAGGTTGGGTTTAATGTTTGTCAGTTAGTTTGCCAATCAAGTCATTATTTCTTTTTGTTGTTGTCTTGTCCCTCTTTAAATGTCACACTCACACTTTTTTCCTTTTTGTCTGAGTGTTCATACCAGATATTTGTAAGATATTATAAATGAATCTACTTGGGATGTTTTTGAATAAAACATTTTACTATAATGTATTTGACTTGTTTGTGCCTTTTCTTTAAAATTGACTCCCCCCCCCCCCCCCCCCTCTCTTTCTGTGAAATTGTTGAACCTGAACATGACGTCATGGCAGATCTAACTAACATCCAGCAGATGGACACATTGAGCTGGATAAATAAGAGCAGTGTAAGGAGGCCTGGCTTCTGTCAGAAGATGGTTTCACTTCCAGTATACAGCTAATTTGTGCAATACTCTACTGATAAAGTTACAAGGCAGGCTTAAAGTTCTTTCGACATATATTAAGAAATGCCAAAAGTATATTTTCTGGGCCAACATTATTGCGTAAACTTGTGAATATTACAGCTTTCTTTTTTCATTGTAGGTCTTCTTTTTTTACCTTTCAAACAAGTCTCTCTCATGTTTGATGCTTTAGTCGTTCTGTAATCCCGCCTCTCATCCATACAGCTGTTTATTGTCAGCCAATCCAATAAACTGGGGCTCTTTGAATAAACGCACCATTTATAGCTGAAAACGCTGCTGGAAAAAAGGATGTTGTGAGAGCTGAGGGTGGATAAGAGCAGTGGCATTACACACGAATGGTTCAACAATGGAACTTAGTCTGGGGGAAAAGGCTATATTAAGCTAAAGAGAGCCATAAGTGTGAGAGAATCTGTGGGCTGTTGTTATGATACACATCACAAAAAAATTGTTTTAAAAGCATTTTCCATTAACATCAATACTTTAGGTTTGGTAGACGTATTGACCTTGTAAGCCCACAACCTGGTTTTACGTTTTGGTTCAAATGTTGCTACATCCTTTGGACGACCACAGGGATTGTTTTTTCCTAGGAAAATAAATAAATAAGCAGAAGCAACAGATTAATAAACCTTTTTTCCTTGCCATATGGTTTCTGGGGCATTCAACAATACGTGTGACTTCCTCTTTTTCCAACTGATTCCCAACCATCAAACCAAAACAAAACTCTGTCTGGAATGTTCATGTTGGACTGTGATTTCTCACAGTAACAACTTAACTGATAAAGTAGGTTTTCTGGGCCTGCAATACAGCCAAAAGTAAAGTTAGCTTCAGGCTTTCACCCGTTTCACTCAGGATTGAAGTTGTGACTGCTCTCTTTTGAACTTTAAATAAAACATAACCCACAAATTACATCATGCAGATTGTCAAACGACTGATCGCAGTGCTGATCTTTGCCGACTCTGCCCACAACAGCCCCCAGAGGCACGAGAGATCCAAATAAAACTAATTAGATCACATTAGAGTATAAGAGGTCACTGCTAGATTTTTGTCACCTCTGGAGTTTTTTTAATGTCGTCTGCTAAAAGAGCAAGAGGTCTTCATAATTCCTCGGTTGAAAAAGAGGTTGCATATTTATTTTGAGCTGGTTCCTCAGTACACTTGAGACTTTGCTAGCACCCTGGAGAGATCGGGTTGGCCAGCCAAGCCAAACTCCCACACACTACTACTGTACACAGTCAAATGAGGGACAGGGAGGGGAGGAGTGAGCTTGTGCTCTAAACATCTTCTAGTTTCAGCCGACTTCATTAAACAGGCCGCAGCGAGACTCTCAAGATGGTATGCAGCTTAATGTGTCTGAAAAGGTAATGTAATAACGCAGGTGAGCAGTCTGCAGTGTGGACAGAAATCCTGTAGTGTTCTTAATAACTGTCACCTTACATTTGATTTGCGAATTTGGAGGGGTGAGATGCTCGCTGTGTGTGGAATTGCCTTTAGGTGCTTGTAGTTAGAGTCGTTCGGCATTATTTAAATTGTAATCTGTGAATGATTTTCCAGCATGTAAAATGTGAAAATGCAGTCTTTGCTCTGGCATCCACGCTGCGGCAGCCTGCTTTACAATCTGTCCTCTCTCCAAGCTCTGTCCATCAGTAAAACGTTCCTACTCACTGTACCCTCAATATGTGAAAAAATATTTTTAGAGCTTCATGACATCTCCATCAAAAAACACCATCTACTATGTTACCCTAACCCTTGATGACATTGAGCCAAGAGAAACAACAGTTTGATTCATGTGTTCATGGGCAAATTCTATTCTATTCTCAGCAGTGCTGTGGTCTTTCACCATAATACCATACTTAGTCTGTGAAGATAATGTTATTGGATTGTAAATGGAGTTTTGTCTATTAATGGATGGCTTGGAAACTGGGTGGTATGAGAAAAAAATGAAAATAAAACTGCCACGGTAGATATAAAAATATTTAAGACTGCAGTCAATAGGGAGACAGATGCACACACCCCTCTGTTTTTATTTCTCTAATGTTTTCACACTGCATCTGAATACCAATGCCCAGTCTTTGCACAGTTTGGATTTTCATTTCGAGTTTCAATCTCAGGAATCTAGATGCCATCAGTGCACTTCAGGTCCAGATCAAGCTAGTCATACTTGTAATAACTGTACTTATCGTCATCACAGACACCATTATCACTGCTGGCGAGATGTAATGTCATTCACTCCACCGTCAGGCCTCCGCTCTTGTCTCAAGAGGCCAAGGTGACCTGTGCTTAAAAAGACGACCTTATCGGACCTCCGCTTCCCTGCTAAGGTTTATCCTCGGTTCAGAGCATGCTCATTTTGCCACGGTCTGTCGGTTCTCCCAACACCCCCTGAAGACTCTGAACACTTGAAATTGCATTTTCAGTTGCTCTGCCATCGGAGAGGTGACTCAATAACTGGCAGTCATTACGAGCAATATGACAAAGTGGTGATTTTCAGTGGTGAAGCTCCTGACACTCTCTGTGGAGGTCTGAGGCTGGAAATCCAAATCCTGCTAGACTCTGTCATTAAGTCCAGATATCCAATGTGACTTTGTTTCCTCTACCTTCTGCAATCTTGGCCGATCTGGAGTTGTCTCAGAGAATGACATACTGTGTTATGTAACAAGTCAAAAGTCAGTTCACACCAACTGAGGGGACACACTCATGACTGATGGAAACAGTTTTTGTGCCATCTGTGAACAATCCTCAGCATAGCAGACTGAACAAATACAGACATCCTC